CCCCCTCCCCGCGCCGTCGCCCTTCGCTCCATCGTCAGCCCCGCCCCGTGAGCCATGGAGGCGATTGTCCTGAATTCGTGGCCCCGGAACCGGCTCCTGGCGCTCGTGGTCTCGACGGTCCTGCTCATTGTGGCCGTCATCCTTTCGGGCGGTCTTTCCGGTGCGCCTCTCGTCGCTCGTCTCTTTCATATGCCCCCCCGCTCCTCCCGGTCACTTGTCCTCGCACTTGCTTTGTGCTCCCTCCTGACCCCGCCCTCCCTCCCCTTTAAGATCCCCGCCACTCCCAACGAGGCCCTCATGTCCTCGCTCTTTGGCTTCATGGAGAAGATCCGCGCGCGCTCCTTCTTCGAGTTCATCGCCAAGTATGACCCGGCCGACCCGAGCACCCACGACAACCTGGACTTCAAGAAGATGACCGCCTCCGACGTGTTCAAGTACTTCAAGCTCACTCCTGACGTGCAGGAGATCATCGGCCACTCGATGTGCCTCTTCCAGGATGACTCCTTCCTGCAGCTGCCCTTCAGCGAGATCTACAATGCCATGGTCCTCTACTCGACCTCTCTCCGTCGTGCCAGCACCTCCCCCTACATCTACCCCCGCTACGGTCTGGGCGAGCTCCCTCAGTCTTTTGCCCGGTGCGTCTTCTCCGGCCATCTCCCGGCTGCCATATCTCCTCCGCTCCCCCCCCCCCCCCCCGTAGCCGCGCCCACCGTGTGTGCATGTGCCCCTCTGACCTCCGCCTTTTCTCCCCTCCCCCCCCCTTCGTCTGCTGCCTTCAGCCTGTCTGCCGTCTTCGGCGGCACCTACATGCTGGCCATGCCTGACATCAAGATTGTCCGCGGTGAGGATGGCAAGGTGATCGGTGTCAGCTCCAAGGACGAGATGGCCAAGTGCTCGGCCGTCATTTGCGACCCCTCGTACGCTGCCTCCGGCGGCATCGAGACCAAGGTCACCAACCGCGTCATCCGTGCCATTTGCATCCTCAACAACCCGGTCCCCAACACCGACAACGCCGACTCCCTGCAGCTCATCATCCCCATGAGCCAGGTCGGCCGCAAGCATGACATCTATGTCGCCGTCACTTCCTACGCCCATGACGTCGCCGCCAAGGGCCACTACATCGCCATTGTGTCTACCGTCGTCGAGACCAACGACCCGGAGCGCGAGATCCAGATTGCCCTCAACCTCCTTGGCCCGATTGTGGAGAAGTGCGTGTCGCGCGCCCCTGCATGCTCTTCTTCCCCTCATGCAGTGGCTGCCTGATGGCTGTCTCTCTCCCCCCCCCTCTCTCTCTCTCTCTCTCGCTCTGTGTCCCCATTCATCCATCTCCTTTCGCGTATCCCCTCTTGCTGACTCTCGTGTCCTTCTGCTCCCCTCCTGATCAGGTTCGTCAAGATCTACGACGTCTGCGTCCCTCTCGACGATGGTCGCTCTTCGAACATCTTCGTGTCCAAGTCCTACGATGCCACCTCTCACTTCATCTCGGTCACCCAGGACGTCAACGACATCTACCAGGTGCGTGCGCCTCGCTCCTATGCCATGCTGGGGAGCAAGTTGTTTGGCCCTGCTGGCAATTGCCACTTTCTCAGCCCCCCCCCCCTGCCCTCCTCCCCTGAGACTGACACGCTCTTCTCCTGTACGCCTCCCTGTCCTCCTCCCCTCTGTCCGTCTCTCTTCCCCTGTCGCCTGTGTGCTGCTGCCCCCTGCTTTCCGGTTGTCGCGCCAACAGCGTCTGACCGGGGACAAGCTCAAGCTCGAGAAGCGTGCCACCATGGACGAGGAGGCCAAGTAAGGGTCCCCCCCGCCCCTTCGTCGACGACCCATCATCTCCTGTACCATCAGCATTGCGCGCCACCTGTTCACCAATGTCGGCACCGCACGCGCCCGGGGATATCTCCCTTTCCGTCCCTTTCTGCATTTTCCCCTCTTCCCTCCGTGTTCTTTCCTTTAGGCAAGGGGGGCCCCTTTGCCGCGATTGGTGGCCAGCGAAAGGCCCCTTCAACGCCGCAAGCGAAGGAAGGGAGGAAAAGAGGCCCAGCTAATAGGGTGGGGGGGGGGGGGTCCCTACGGGAGGGGTCACAACTCTCCCATGTACCCAGGTGATTGCTCCTTCTCCTCCCTTGGGCCTTCTCTCCTGTGCACCTCCCTCCTCTCAGCAGGGGGTGTATCATGTCGATGACCAAATACGAATACCTTCACAGACAGCCTTTTCTTTCGTGCTTTTTCTTGATACGTGGATGGCCCGGGGGGTTTCTGCTATTTTTATTTCTTTTGGCCTGCCCACTTTTTATCCTTCGCAGATCTCCGCCCTTTCCTGGAGGACGATTCAGAACCAGGCAAACGCGACAGGGGGAGATATGCCTGAAAGTGTGCTGCTGACAGGGCCGCACATGACCAAAAGGTCACACGCTAGGGACCTCCCATTTCGAATCACGCCGCTATTTGAACTGTGGGGTGTCACTATCCCTTTTGTTAATTTCGGCGCCTGCATCCCCCCGCCCCCGCGCCCCCCGCCCCCCCCCCCCCCTTCCTACC